TCATATTTTTATTTATAAATTTTTTATCGCTTACTGCTTAAGTTCTACTATTTAAGTATTTTTATGTGCTATGATTCTAAACCAAAATTATCTGAAAATTATACTAGATGATTTAATATAAATAATATTTTTTTTTTATCTAAGATGCAGATATAGATAATACACATTTTTATTATCTATATAAAAATAAGATGACGCCAAAATTTCATCTAGATGATCATCTATATAACTTTATTTAGATAACAGCAAACACCTCGTGTACATATATATGTAACTCTGTAATGATTTCATCGAAGGGAATTTTCCGGAAAAAAGATGTACTGTAAAATTTGCATTACATCCCTTGAAACTCTGTTTCGCTGCCTCGTATATACCGCAATCCAAACTTATTTACTTTTTAATTGAAGTGTTGGGTATTGTAACTCGGGAACATTCGTGCATCTAAAGCAAACTACAACACAGTAGCTATCTTGCGAATGCTTTCGTGCAGCTCCCGTTCGAGGAAACGTGGGGAGCATGCCAACGGTGATTTTTAATCAAAACTCGTTAGATTATATACGTGATCACCTGTGTGTGGGTGTATGTATGTACGCGCTGTTTTTTTTTATACCTTTTATTATAATCGTGGAGCTTTATTGGAAGAAACGTGTATGCGGGGTAGTTTCTGAGAAAGGAATATTCTTTCTCATTAAGTATTTTTCACCGTCAACTGATAGCGCGTAAATGTTTCAACGCACGAGTTTCATATAAATCATTTCCTCGCTATATAAACAACGTTACCGTTTTAATTATTTGAAAATATCGCGTTTTCAAAAAAAAAAAAAAAAAAAAAAATAAAAGAAATATCGTAAAAATATCGTACTCTCTTTTTATTTTAAAATTTATATTAAACCATTATATTTTTAATTTGAAACATATAATATTAAATATAAAATACATCCTAGGCAGATAAAAATATCGAAAATGAAAGGAAAATTGACTTTTTTATTATTTATTATTTTGCTTTCAATTCTGCTTACACATTATAGTTTCACATTTCTCATTAAAATTTTTTTCCTCTTTGTTTTAATCTTGTGATTTTTTAACGAAGAAAATTTCTAGGTCGAAAATTTTGAATTATAAAATTTATTTTATATGTTTTACGTGCTTGCCTGTAAACAAGAAAGCAAACTCATATTTATTTTGAAATAAAAATAAGCTAACTATTCTGAAGTCGTAAATGTACAATCATTCTTGACTAGCAACCTTTTACGAGCATCCGGCAAACGTGCTGTATTTGCATAGGAAATGTCTCATTTCTCGACATATTAAGGGCGAATGTAATAATGTTCATTACTAGCATGACGTTTTCTCTGAAAATGGTGCAAGAATTATATCTTATATATATTACGGACTGTTGTCATTAATTTTGAAAAATATTTTATCTCGCTTCCATCTATTAAATTGTGGTTTGATCTTTAGCAATTATAAATAAATCAAGATTTAAATACGAATCGTATAAATAATCAAAGCGATTCTCTCAGAGTTGTTAATTTTTTTTGTTTTCAACAAAGAAATAATAAATTTTTAACGAGTTTTGCAATTACGCGTCTCACAAAGACATCTAAAAAATTGAAAATATTGAAGTGTAAATAAATGCTACTTATTTGAACGTCGTTGTTGAGGTAAAATACAGGTTCTGCAGTTCAGCTTTTGCTTTTCCATGACTGAAAACAATGTTAAAAGATCTCTTTATTTTATTTCTTCTTCAGAAATAAAAAAATAAACTCTTGACAATCGAAAAATGAGAATCTCGTGTAAGATAATAACTGTTTTGATATTTTCTTAATGCATTAGACATGGATAAGCAGGAATGATATTGTTCGTTTTAAACCCGAGACGCAATCTTTCTTTCTTGCTTTAGAGAAAATCAAATAAAAATCTTGAAAATAAACTAAAGCCAAATAGCATTTATCAAACTTATTATGAATTTTTCGAAAAGGATACATAATTTTATATTACGAAAAATTAATAATTAATGTTACATACGATATCTTTTGCTATAAACAACTCTACAAAATAATTTTCATATTTTTTTGATCGATTTATTTGCTTCAATTTTTCTTTTTTTATTTTAATATCTCTCGCTATAAAAAAACCTAGAAAATAATTTTCATATTTTCTTGACCGACTTATTTGCTTTAATTTTTTTCTCTTTTTTATTTCGATAATTACGTATAGCTGACATGAAGGATAATTTAAAAAGACATAAATTAATGATTGGACGATTAAAAAAAAATACGAGGCTGTAGCAGTCTTATTAAGTTGATTTTCCAGTTCCGCTCTAGGAATAACGGAGGAATATTGCGATCGAACGCAACTCGTGCATGTGAAACTCGCGTTAGCTTTAGATTTGATAGGTACGATAGCGGGAAGCAGATACAGCCTCATTCGTTTCTCAGATTAATTCGAGCGGACAAAGAACGCCTCGCGTGCTCGGTCACAATACGGTAAGCACTTTCCCACAAAGGAGCAATTGGCTGAGAACGCAGGCTAAAAATCAGCCCTTATATCTGCAAGCGACTGTTTGTATAATATATAGCGTGTTTTTCAAGCATTGCATGCGGTGCATGGAAAATCGGGCAGAGCAACCCTTTGATTAGATGAATTATTTTGCGATCGGATTATTGACCGAAAGACTTTTCTTATGCGCGAGGATTTTCGAAACAATGTTTCGACGGCTGGATTATAAAATAAAATGACGCGGGTGATTTTAGCAGAGAGTAGAATAATATCGTTTCGAATTCTACGAGAAGGACGAGAGGAGGATTAAAGTAGGTCAGTTATTGTAAAGTAGGTAAACAGTTGTAAAGTAAATAACAGTTTCTCTTCATTCAAAGGACTATAGTGCCTCGAATTTTTCGCCGAATGTATATTTTTCCTCCTTCCTTTATTGCGGTATTTAATTGAAAATTGTTTTCTCTGAATTTCCACTTGCATTGCCGAAACTTTAATAAAACATTTCGAAAATTATATACGCAAACTAATACTATAGATGCAAACAGGACAAATTATTCTTGAAGAAAAATCAGGTATGACTTTTCGATGATAATTCTTCCTTTGCTTCGTGCGAATTATTTGAATACTCTTTTTTAAATACATTATCTGATGATGATCATGATATCTCTACTCTCATTATTCTTTTTTATCATTGCACAGTTAGAAGAAGAAATTGAAAGAATGTCGGAAGATGTCAGCGAGCACGAAATGAAAAATCGAGAAGTTAGATTAAATTTTCTAATTTTGGATTCAAGATTAGAAAAAAATTATATCTCATTATGGCCAATTTTAAAATGAATTATCAGTGTTATAGGATATAATCGAATAATGAGTCCCTACGTTTAACGCGAAGAAAGAACAAGGACGCGCTCAGATGCAGTGTCATAATTATCGCGCAAGTTTCTTCCCTCTCAACTACGATATTAAATTGGAATTTAAATTTTCGTCGCGCGCGACGTAATCGAGGAACAAGGTGCAACTAATTTCCAAGTCGAAGTTTTGCATCCGACAGGACATCCTCGCTCCGTTGCTCGCTGACAGTTCCGCGAAGAGAGAGAGTTTCTGCCGTCTCCCATTTTTCTTTCCTTTCGCCTCTATTGTGCAATGACTTTTCGGCGTGTAATCGCCAAGTTTCGACCTTATTTATTCAGTAGGGATCCGGACTAAGAGGTCGGACTTTGCCGGGTTTCTGGCAGCCGGTTTTCCGTTTCCCAGAATATATACGCTGCTGCTGTCGCTGCCGCGTTCATTTTCATTTTCCCACGAAAAACGGCGGCGGAACAGGCGCGGCGTCTCGTAATTCCGGTAAAACGCAAAGTGCACTCGGCAAACTGTGTCGCGTTTATCGACTTTACGCGTCCCGGCAATTAACGTCGCGATGTATCGCGGCGCCGAACCCTTTGTCGCGGAAACCTTTTTTTCTCGCGTCGCATCGCACGGAGTATTCAGCGAATGACTCATTTTTCACCATGTGATATGGAGATGGACAGACGGACACGAGGAGAGGAAAGGATGAGGGATTGTCTGATTTAACCTGTATGAGGGGACACGAGATTGACTCGGAGAGAGAAAGGAGACATGAGTGATGAAACCCATTCACGTACTCAATGAAATACGTAACAGACTATATAACTATTTATGTCGCTTTCGAGTGAGATCGTTCCCCGAGTGAATGAGTAAAGCTTCTTTTTGCAAGACCACTATAGCCATCTCGACTGTCGTGGAAGGTTATCAATCATAATTCGACATCGTGTTAAATTCGAGAATCGCAAGTTACGTTGTATGTCGAAGCGTTAGTTGTTGAGGAAAATATGCACTCATATAAAATTCAAATGGATATCTGAGGAAAGATCTTTATTTTAAAATTATATGATTTTCTATTCAAATGTATTAAATAAACCCCTGAATGTAGAAGAATATCCGAAGAGGGATCTTAATTTAAAAAAAAATCTTGAGGGAACTTGAATTTAGAATTTAGAGTTCCAGCTTTTTGTTGTGGGCACTAAAAGTCGTATATAAAATAACTCTGTTGGCATTTTTAGTACCTTTAAAAAATAGAAGTTATCGATAATCTATTGTATACACGCCTGGGGAAAAAAACGCACTTTACGCAGAGCAACTTTACGTAAAAAAAAAAAATCGCATAAAATATTAAATAAAGTCATGTCATCTCGCCCGAAGCGAAAGTCACCCACTCACTCGTATATAATCCTGCATCCTAGAATGAGTGTGCTCGTGAAATCTAGCAGGGTGAAAGAGTGCAAGAGAGTGAAACATTAGAATGCCAGAGAAAGAAAATGCAGAAATTGCGAGTGTATTTGAGAACAAAAGGTAGAAAGAAAGGGAGAGAGTGAGAGAGAAAAAAGAGGGAAAGTAAGGAGAGCGAAAGAGAGTGCGAGAGAGAGTGCGCGCGAGAGAGAGAGAGAGAGGCAACCCGTGTGGGTTCTCTGTCTTCTTCGCAGATCATCGGAGATTTGTCGTCGGCGACACGCTATTTCGAGCCACCGGCGGTCCTTTGCGACTAAGGCAACTGGTGCGGGATTAGCAGCCTCGACGACCTCGGAATCGCAGGAGAGCTACGCCCTCGACGCCGAGGTGCCCGCAGCAGCCAAAAGATCCCGTAACACGAGGGGTTCGCAAAAGTGGAGTAACGTACGCGCGGTCATGGCGTTATATTCCTCTCTACGCAAAATCAAGAGGTATTCCGGCACATTAGTCGATGACGGTGAACTCCGGCATCGTCACGTCTCTCTCGCACACAGAAACATATCCTTGGGCTGCTGTCCCATGGCAGGCGGAATTTCGGAAAACGGAATCGCGGAGAAGTATCAGAATTATTTGGAGAAATTTTAAGTTAACGTTTTAAATCATGATAATTAACCGGGATGGAATTTTTGTCTCTATATAAGAAGAACTTTGTTGTTAATCGAAATAATTGTTCGGTAAGTATTTGTTAATATACATATATAAATATTCGATCCAAATATTTTATCACATAAAATATAGTTATTTTATTGTCAAGAATAAAATTGCGTGTTTGTCGGTTCGCTTTTTTTGTGGCTGAGCTCCTCATGGACTAATATTTCGGAGCATTTCGAAAATTAGTGAAAATAGAAAAATTTCTTTTCATAGTTTTCCGACAAAAAATAATTAATACAATAGAAAAATATATAAAAAAGTGAAATTTGTAAGTATTGTTTTTTATAACAGAAAATAACAAAGAAATTTTCTAAATGGAAAATTGTTTGAGATTAGAATAGCATTCCGTAAAAATCGTTTCATGGGGAGCGAGCCTTATTCTAGTACTTTTCCGCGATTCCGTTTTTCGAAATTCCGATTGCCATGTGACAGCACCCTTACACTCTCACAGTCTCTGTCCTTCGAATTGTTTTGGGAACCTGGCACGATGGCTTGAATTCTCATCTTGTAGTGGTCTTCTCTCCCTCGTATATATACTTTTTGGGAACTTTAGTTTCGAAGACGTTTCGTTTCTTTTTTTATTTGTATAGTATTCAATACATTAATTGTTATTTTTTCTAAATAAAATAATCTAAGTAATCGAGTTAAGGGAATCCTAAGCATCGTCTTGTTTTATCGATAAAATAATTTTTGCGCATCCTTTTCTTTTTATTGGTTGAATAAAATAATAAATGCTTTTCTCCATACATATATATATTAAAATAAAAAAAAAAAATTTATATTTGAAAGAAATATATCTTCTTTAAAAAATTTTTTTTTAATTAATTTTTTCCTGTGAATTTTGACATGAACGAATAATGCATTGAAGATTATATATTTATCAGTTTGCATTCTAAATTTTTTATTTCGCGCGGTTAACAAGAATCATATACGTAGAATATGCGAAAAAATTGTTCGAAGAAAGAACCTCTCAAAAGTGTCTCTCGATGGTGTCGGAAAATATTGGAGATTTTGCAAGCACGTGTGTTTGCATCTTGTCAATTATTCATCTTGTGTAGCGCCAGACTTCCTAATATAATCGAGTATTCCGAGGGATTTTCGATTTTTAGGATCGCGTGACGGAGCTTTCGAAACTATACGAATTTTCAAACTCTGTTTCGCAGATTTCGAACAATGAAGTGAATTATTCAAAAATTATTTCTGGGCGCGCATGCGCGCACACGAAGCAATTCTAATCTGATATTGTTTTCATCGCTACCCACTCACAATCGCTCGCGATGTAAAACGAGAGGAACGTAAAATTTACGAGGACACGAGACTTCCACTAAGTAAATGTACGTAACTGCGATAAATTTTATACGGAAAAGTGTCGCTATATTAAATTCGAAGCCAATATTGTCGGTTTACATACAAAGTTATCGAGCTTTCTGCCTTTCCATTGTTCCGTCGCGCCAGTTCTATCTTTGCAGGCTTAAAAAAATATTCACATTCACAGCTGGATGAATCAATAAAATAACAAATTTAATAAAACGTAGAAATGGAGAAAACATATTTTTTTAGAAACGTTTATTACGCAAATATTCATTAGCTTTTAATCAAATCAAGACAAAATATCATGCTCTGTACAAATATATACAATATATATTATTTGAAAAAAAGAAATAAAATATTGAAGCTATATAAATAGTAATCCACCTATCTGCAGTTTTGAACGATTGTCTCTATTGATGATCAATTTGAACCGAAAATTCCTAATTTAAAATTACACTTTGTAAAGTTTAACGACGTATATTATCGATTGATGTGCTACAATGACAAAGTATAGGAACGAGCTATAAGTCTCGAACGTCGATCGTTTTACGTCGCGAACGTCACATCGCATTCAACATAAAACCGCACGAAAGTACTGGCTACTCTCTCGTCACTGCAACTCTATCCTATCGCCACTCACTACTTTATCTCAGATTACTGACTCGTGGTCTCTACTTTGTACTAGATGATAGAACTGTAGATGACTGCAGTCTCTCTATCCTTCGCTTTCAAATGATATATCGAACCATTTAACTTTATGATAAGGGACCCCTCACAATCCTTGTAGAAACTGGAATCGGCTAATTTTTTCACACATTGTAGCTTGCGATCTGCCGAACAATAGATTCATAATATAATATAAGTAATAGCTTTATAGCTAAATATTGGATAGTTACTGATTGTGAGTTACAGTCAGTCAAATAACTCGTAGATCTCAAGTTTTTCGTATTTGACAGGCTGTAAATCAGTGACCATCTATTATCTAGCTCTGAGCTAAATTGATTTATTTAGCTTTATTTATTTAGCATTATTTATTTAGCTTTTGATCTATTACATTTTTTGTTTAGTAAGTCATAAGTTACAACATGGGAGAAAATCAGCTGATTTTACCGAAATTCACAATTTCATCTAGGATTTTATATAGGTTCAAAAACTCCGTACTAATTAAAATTAAATCTTGATAAGGTCAGCTAGTTTTTCTCATAAGCTGCAACATGTGAAAAACTAGCCAATTCCAGCAAAATCCATAAGAATTATGCGGGATTCTTTACAAACGAATTGATTTCTTTTTTTGCGCATACTTTTATTTGCGATTTGCTAATGAAGTATTGATGCTGCGCAAAATTTCTGAACAATATATCATTGATATCGCGGTGAAATGAGTAGAAATTATTGGCGATGCGTCCGACGATGAAATGGAATACCGTTTCTACCGTTTATGTATAAAGAGCAGAGTTCATAAATTTCTGCCCTTTCATTTCGCACTTGAAAGTGATACGCTTGTATTGATATTCGTTTTCTCCCTTGCTTTGCATCAGCGCGATCCGATTCTCTCCGCGAAATGCGATACATTTCAGCTAATAGCGAGCGATTGATCTCAAATTAATCTCACGTCGAATAAAATATTTCGTTTCATTATTAGCATCGATTAGAAATTACGCGAATCCCTTCGTGTGACGTGTTTTGCATCACCAGCATCGATCAAATTTTTCTGTTTGTCATTCACGTTCCAAATATTTTTCGAGTGTTTCAAATTTTATTACTTCTCTTGCAGAAAAATTGTCGGTTAAATATTATCGAAGTTACTACTAAAGCATGAGATCTTAATACGATTTGTAAAAGTGGTTACTTGAAATTTTCCTTCATAATGCTGAAGAGAGTTGAATCTTAAATGGAAAGATTGTTTTGAGCGAGCAATAATTTGGCCAGCACTTTTCTTGACGAGTGATTAATATTTCGAGAATATTATTTTTTAATAAGAATAAAAGAAATAATAATGACACACTCGGGAAAAAATATAACACAGAAAGCAATCTCTCTATTTGGCATTCCGTTAATTAATATATGCACACTGAAAAAAGTTGTCAACTTAACTGAACCTTTCAACTAAATATTATTTCGTTAAATGAGCATATAAAAATATTTAAATTAAATATAACATGTTAAATCTAACAAAACGTATATTTGACTAATATACGTTTCATTAACAAAATAGTAATTTAGTTGAAAGATTCAGTCGAGTTAACAAATTTGTTTTTCAGTGCACGCGACAACATACATTTTTACGACAGAACACTGTACATGGGTGTTACATTAACGAATTCAAGAATGTGTAGTAGCATAATGACGATTTTTAGTTATTGTCACTGTTTAACGGTATGCGATTTTTCAATGTCACTGTCTCTGTCTGTCTGTCTATCTATCTGTCTGTCTGTCTGTCTGTCTGTTTGTATGTCTGTTTGTCTGTCTGTCAGTCTGTCTGTCTGTCTGTCTGTCTGTCTGTCTGTCTGTCTGTCTGTCTGTCTGTCTGCCTCCTATCCATCATCTGATGCTCTAACTGATCTGATCTCGATTCTCGCTCGATTTCTCACTTTTCTCAAGCAAAAACTACCTGTCTTACGAATCTTAGAATTTAGAGAAAACATGATACGCGCGATGTATACACATTCTTTCGATCGAAAGAAAGGAGAATGATGTGTGTTTCGCACACGTTAGGTTGGACCGAATAGTACATAGGTATTTATATAGACCCCGTATGTGTTTGTGCAAGATGCATAAATCATAGCGAGGACTGCGGAACGAGGTGCCTTGTGATATACCCTATATAGTGTGTATATATATATATATATATATATATATATATATATATATATAGCGATTTTTGCGATTTTTGTGACACGCAACAAAAACTTATGCATGCGTGATTCGCAAGAAACTCGCGGCGTTATTCAGTCACGCGGAATCCCGATTATAAAATATATTTGTGTGTGTGCGCGCGTGTGTGTGTGCGTCTGTGTGCGCAAATATGTCAATCGTATTTCTTTCAGGGGTCGCCATGTGCGAAACGAATATTGAAACGCGTCGGCTCTTCGTGCGAATAAGCTTCGATTAATTGTGTCTATTGCGCAAACAGCTTGTGTAACGTAAAACGCATAATATATATGTATATAGATTGAGTTGACCGCGTTTTACATCAGACCGATTGGACGTATTTGTCACGTGTCTTTTTTAAGAGTGACACGATTGATCCGTTTTCGCGCGCGCGCGATGTAAATATATATCTTCAGACTTGAAAGTTTAATAAATTATATAATTAGAGCACATATATATGTATATATGTATATATATTTTTTTCCTTTCGTTATATCCAAATTTATACACGGTTAAATTAAATGGAGACATGAAATATTTCGATTATTAATTATATTTTAGAGGATTAAATATTTTAGATTTTTTTGTTATTGGAGAAAGTAATAAGACGCTTTTTCTACTTTCTCGTGAAAATTTAAAAATTCTCTGGGATAATAATAGTAACATTAATAGAAAGAATATGGTTCTTGTCGCGGAGAGGAAAAGGCGCGATGTCAAGAATAAAATAACGACTCCTCGCATCGATCTATTACTTTCCCTTTGCTCACGATATGATAAACGATTTTACCCCGTTAGTACCTTCATAAATCCGACACGCGTTATTGGAGCAGATTGTTTCCGACCGGATAAATCAGTCTTTAAAGTACGTACCCGGTTTCTATATATGAGGACACCAGTATATCACGCGGTTCACTTAATACTCGTAGAGATACACGAGACGGCGATTATTTATGGAGCGCGACAATCCGTACTTATATCGGTTTCCTCTCTTTCGCTTCGCGACGAAGGGACAGCAGAAAAATAGGATTTGCCACGGAATTGAGATCTCTATGTCGATAGGAAAAATATCTATACGAGAGCACATTTCGTATATATGTTACACGTTCGAACATCCCCTTATCGCACCTCATCATTTCGCACATTTCTAGGTCAGTGCGTACGATTATACATAAAATAAAGTAACGTGTGACGTGGATTTGCCGCTGCGTATGAAAAATCCATCGATATTTAAACAATACGAAAATTTATTTTAAATTGAATTTTTTTAAATCGACTTGCTCTGCGAAATATTCTTCTATATATGATATATCGCAATTTTTTTCATAAATCTTACGAGAAAATGTATGTACATGTGCTCGACGTGTCACTCTAGAGAATATACAGGGTGTTAAAGAAAAAGGGTAAATATATTTTGAGAGCAGATAGTATTGATCAGAATAATAAAAAAAATATTTAATAAATGGGTTCTATAATTAATATCTTTCTATTTGAATTTATTATGTTTTTCTTATTAATCGTATCACTTTTAGTACTTACTAGTTTTGCTATAGTGACATTTTATAATAATATTAGATTTATAAGTATAAGATTTTTAATGCATGTCAATAAATTCAAGAACATCCAAGTGTGTTTGAAAGAATCCGAGACATAAGATTGAAAAATGAAATCATAAAAACTCTTTTAATGCTGACTGCAAACCTAATAAATATTCTTTGGTTTACTGCAATAAATAGCCTGTAACTTCAAAGATATATTAGACATTTTTTTTTCTTATTTTAATCGATATTACTTGCGCTCCAAATGTATAACTCTTTTTTTAACATCCTGTATATAATATATATATATATCAATTTTTTTCATAAATCTTACGAGAAGATATACATGTGCTCCACGTGTCACTCCAGAGAATATATATTAAATCAGATGACATAACGTCAACGCAAGTATTTCAATATTGTGAAAGCTCAAATATATATGTATGTAATATCCTAGAAGAGCTATTTTATTTTCGCAAAGGATTTTCCGAGCGCCGATGTTTACCTAGATCGCAGTTTGCGGATTCGAGCAATTTTCTTTAATCCGACATATGCGACGGAAATTAATGTTTTTATTGCTCTGACGACCTAGCTGGAACTAGGATGACTTTAACTGGCAGTCGTAACATTCTCCTTCGTATCACTTAACGGCCGCCTTTATACGCGGTTTATGAGGTGTGCATTTTGTTTTCTGTACATGTCAAGCTGATACAAGAACGCGATAACAAAATTTCATCTCTCGTTTTTATATTCGATCTATACGATTGTAGGAATATGTGAGAGAACGAAATCGCACGCAAGAGGTTCATATTTCTCAAATTCTAGTCGAATCTCGAAAATACGTAGGGAGGCTGACTCGAGGCCTCCGGAAGACTCTCCTTTACCCCTTTCGTCCTTGACTGGCGATCTGTTTCTCTTTCTGCTCGCAGAACGAAGAGCAATCAACGGTGGATGAAACTCCGTACTACGGTGCAGCTGTCCTCAGCGATCTCGACGATCCAGAAGAAACCGCCGCTGAAGCGGGAAGACTCGTTCCTCAAGCGGTTCTCCACCAGGCAGATCCCGGAGAGCCAGGAGACCCTGGACACCGGCGAGGGTGACGCGACCGACAAGGAGGCAGGTAGCCGGCGTCGCAGGCGACCTCGTAGGCCGCAGAAACCCCCGAAGACTGTGGTGAATCCGGACGAGAACTTTTACTATTACTGGCTGATGCTGCTGTCGGCATGCGTTCTGTACAACCTCTGGACCCTAATAGTTCGCCAGAGTCTGCCGGAGCTGCAGGCTTTGGCGCCTGCCGTCTGGCTCTCCTGCGACGGCTTCACCGACATGGTCTTCTTCCTGGACGTTGCGGTGCAGTTTCGCACCGGTTACCTCGAACAGGGTCTGATGGTTTACAACAGCAACAAACTGGCCGGTCACTATATCAAGTCCAAGTCCTTCATTCTCGATCTGCTGGCGTTGCTACCCCTCGATCTGCTGCAGGTGAACCTAGGCAGCAACCCGATGCTGAGGTTCCCCAGGTTCCTCAAGATCTATCGGGTGTACAATTACTACTACATGGTGGAGTCGCGGACGGTCTATCCGAATCTCTGGCGCGTCCTCAATCTTATTCACATTCTGCTCATCCTGGCGCACTGGTTCGGCTGCTTTTACTACCTGCTCAGCGAGGCCGAGAGCTTCCAGGGCGACTGGGTGTATCCCTACCGGCCCGGCGAATACTCCACCCTCACCAGGAAGTATCTGGGCTCCCTCTACTGGTCCACCCTGACGCTGACCACCATCGGCGACCTGCCCACGCCGGAGACCAACGCCGAGTGAGTGACATAAAATCTCTAAGACGAAACCGTGATGCACCACTTATGCGCTCCTTGCTCCTTTCGTTTTTCTTTTATCGCACCGGGTATCTCGCGTCGCCCGATCTCGTCGAGACGAGGCTTCAGAGAGAATGGAACGTCGGCGTCACATTTGCTTTTTTTCTCTTTGCGCATCTTCACGCGGAGCGAGAAGATTGCCGAGGAAAGAGACTATTCCATTGCAACAAATTTTATCAGAGATCATTTCAAATAATATGGAATATAAGAATTCATTATCTCGAGAAAGTTAGTAATCGTATAAAGATGTGCTTTGTAGAATATTTAATTGTTACGCAATAACGATAACGCAATTCTCATACGATGCGATCGAACCTATTATCCAGCTTGAGAGCTGCGATTCATTATTTTTGAAAAAGCTCCATTGCGAGAAATTTGATTTTTTTTATATTTAAAATCGACTTCCTAAAATTCATCAGAAAATAAATTATTAAATAATGTTTCTGCGCGTATCGGTACGTATTTCCTCTTTCTTACATTTATGTGAAAATTTTAGCGGAATGGTCCTGAAGAAAGACTTGAGAGAGTAAATCAAATTATTTTGTGTTTATTATAATCAAATTTTCAAGATTTTTTCAAATAGATAGATAACGAATTACATTCTTTTCTTGATACCGGGCTTTCGGAATTTCCGAGATGTTCCGATCGATCGAAAAGTCATGTATCTCGAGACGTTAGCATTAGACTCAAGGTTAACTTGCATTCGCATGGAACATTTACGGCGCCTTAAAAGTCAATAGCTCCTTCGGGCTATGACATGGATCAACAGGTAGCTAGATGCATAATCTTATTTACTTTGCAACATTCGTATGTGCTTGATCCGTGATCTATTTCGCGAGCCATCCGCGCGTTTAAAAGCCTTCGTGTATAAAGAGAATTGATGAAAACATTTCAGCGAGTCTTTTTCGTTAAGAGGAGGAAAAAATCCGATAAAAATACCAGGAGAAAAATACCCGCAAAATAAACGATCATTTATATATGTATACAGAGTGTATCTAAATAGATGCGAGAAATTTTAGATGATTCTTTGTTGAAAATTTAGGGAGGTTTCTTATATAAACATATATTTTTAATTTATTCTTTATCAAATTTTTTTATTTATTTTTTATTTATTATTTATCAAATTTAAGAAATAAAATTTGCTGGATATTTCCCACTAATAAAAAAGATATTTGTTAATATTTTTTTAAACATTAAAAACTTAATTTTTACCTTCTTCTTTAGAAAAGTAACTTCTCAGGGAGGGATATAAGAGTATATGTTTATATATAAGAACCCGCTCTTAATTTTCGACAAAGAATCATCTTCTAGAATTTTTCGCAATTATTCAGATACATCCTATATAATTAAGAGATGAGATTTGATTAAATAAAAATGTAAAAGATGACACCTTTTTTCAATGTTGCGGATGTTACATTTTACATTTTATTTTACAACATTTGCATGCATTTTCTATATTAGCATATTATAATTACCTCGATCTGATTGAACGTCATATTGTTAGTTCATTAATTATTTATGTTCGCTTCTCGTTTCCGGTTACGAATCGTAGATTCGCTCGTATTTTCCGAAGCGCGTGTTTATATCGCGGAAAGTATATTATTATCGCAACGTGTCTCGTAATAGTGACGTAAAATTCTCGTGTTTGTTCCATTTTAATGCAAATAGAATAGGATATTACGTTCAAACATTCAACTGTCATTATACAGTCATTCATTACATAATATAGTTTGCGACATCAATAATTCCTTATTGGGATATAAATTCGTAAAATGAACTATAATACTATTTCAAATGAGAATTAATTATGTTATCCAGAATTAATATAGATATCTCAAACCGAGAGGATCGGTTTTGCATGCATTTCCGTTATGTAAACGTAATAGTGGTCGAGGAATACGTCTTACTGCGAACTATTATTATTACAGCAGACGGATGATCGACGAAACATGCAAATTTCTCGCAAAGTCTTTAACTTTCTGGAATTTTACGAAAATGGCCCTCTCTTGCGAATATTGCGCAATCGACAATCGATATTCTCCGGCATCTCGTGGAATTTCAAATGACGTAACTCTCGCATTTCAATGCGAATTTTGCTAACAGGCGAGACACGTTTCGGTAATAATATCGCGTAATTTAACGTCGGGATATTTCGCGTATTAATTGATATGGGAATTATAATTATCGACTCTAATCGCGGCGCTCTAAAATCGATATCTATCGATTAACGCTCGCCACGTTAAACGTCACGTGATATATGTTCGGGCTTACGTTGCAAACACGTTACATGCTAATCGTATACGTATATATATGTATATTTAAGCGTATTACTTCGCTGCGTTAAGTGCGGAGACGAGATAAACGGAAACGAGATCGCGCGCGGCGCGAAACCGATTGATCGACCAGATCGTCTCGCCAATCAGATTTCTCTCAATCAAAGCATTCCGAGCATCGCCGATTTCACGGATATCGTCAGTCGACGATGACAGACGCCTCTTGGGTACAGGTGGCTCACAGTCGCATCGTTAAACCATCCTTCAAAATCTCTATATATCTGTATATATGTATATCTTTTTTTATGAATCACATACAGGGTGTTGAAAAAAAGGGTTTACATATTTGGAGAACAGGTTTTATAGTATTGATCAAAATAAAAGAAAAACGGTCCAATCAACATTGTTCCTACAATTAATATCTTAGAAGATACACGCAGGATATCTTTCTATTTGAGCTGATTGTCCTTTTCTTATAGATTTGTAGATATCAGTATGAGGTTTTTAATGCACGTCAATAAATTTAAGTGAGACATATGATTGAAAAACGCGGCAATGAATGGGAATCACATGGAGCTTTTTCTATACAGAGTGTTTCTAAAACTATGTCAGGGATTTTAAGGGCCTATTCTAGGAGACGAAATAAGAAAAAGAGGTCCTATAAACATGGCGAGTTATAGCCCCCTAAAGTTGAGAGAAAAATTTATTATAGCTCTCGGACACTTTGACAGATTGTTAAAATTTTGCACAGTGCAGAATTTTTCAGTTTTGAGAATTTGATCCGATTGTGAGAGGGAGATATGCTAATTTTCATTTTTGAACCCATGTTTATAGGAACTTTCTTTCTTATTTCGACCCCTAGATTGCGCCCTTTAAATCTCTGACATCATTTTAGAAAGAACAATAATAATAAGCTCAAACAGAAAAATAGCTGAAATCTTCGAAGATGTTAAATGCAAGAGCCATTAGACATCTTTTTCTTATTTTCATCAGTACTATCTGCTCTCAAAGTACGTAATTTTTTTTTCAAACACCCTGTATACAGGGTTCATAAAATGATCGTCTACAGTCGTTTACCTCGAAGAGAATGTGGCGTTTTGCCGAATAAAGATGGAGAAACACGCGCGATTTCGCGCGCAGCGCCGGCGGTTCCATTGTCTCTTAAGTTTGGTCTCTAGAACTTAGATGCCTAGGAATTAGACTCGTGAAGCGGCCTTGTTGTTGTTGTGTTGGCAGAGTCGTAGCGGGCGGCAATCCCCGGAGCCTCGCTCGTCGCGGCCGACTGTCCCGGCTTCTGCAGTTCAAGCATAACGGAGGGTATCTGTATCGTTTCCAGAATAAAAAAACGAACGAACGAACGATAAGAGAACGGAAAGAGAGAAAGCGGCGTGAGAGAGCGTGAGAGAGCGTGAGAGAATGGGAGAGCGCGCGTGAGGGAGAAAATGGGAATCCGAATGACAGGAGGGTGTTATGGCGAGGAATAAATGAGAATGCAATGAGGTAGAGAATGCTCGTGTAGAATGAGAAAAGGAGAAAGGGATGAGTGAGAGAAGTAGATGATAGATACGGGAAAAAGTGCAAAAACGATATAGGACAAATTCTCTCTCTCTCCATTATTCGTGTAAATGGATCCAAAAAAGGAGATACGGGCTATAGGATTTTCGTTATTACAAAGATCGCACTATTTGATTTTACAAAACGATTCCTATAAAGATGTATTTGCGAGTCCAATAGAGACTTTAAAGGTGTTCAGGGGATCCTAAGCTAACTTAAGCTTCCTTCCTGTTTTATTGATAAAACGTAAGGTTGGAACTATAAATCTATTTATTGGCTCTATACGGATTGTTTTTACCTGAAATTAAAACGCTTCGCCCTTTATTAATATTAATACTTTAATTTGTACAGGAAAAAGATTTATCAATCTGTATAGTTTTATATATCTTGGTTACAGAGTGATGAATGCTTAGAATTCATATTTCTGTAACCAAGATGTATGAGATTGTACAGATTGATAAATCTCTTTCCTGTCCAAATTAAAGTATTAATATTAACAAAGAGCAAAGCGTTCTAATTTCAGGTAAAAAGCAATCCGTATAGCCAATAAATTTATAGTTAATCCAGCCTCACATTTTGTCGATAAAACAGGACGAAAATCACAGGGACTTCTCAAGGACGTTTAGAATCACCTTAAAGGGAAAGTGATCTTGGCGCGAAGGGAAAGAAGAAAAATCCGACAGAGAGGGTGAAAGTTGAAGCGCGAACGCTTCATTTACGACATTATGTCGCGACGGAGGAGATATTCTTTTGAAAAATGATGGGAAAAATGAGATAAGTCTCGCTGGCAAACCCGGGCTGTCGACTCGCAAAAGGCAATCGGTGTGAAATCGCGGTTAAATTAATTAATATATAAAATGGGCACTCGCGCCGAGACGTCATCTCGTCGGTAAAATGATGAAATTCTACACGAACAGGGTTACTATTACACGGAAAATTTATATCGCGCAATATCTACGTCATGCAATTAGAAGGACGAGCAAGACGTGCTTCGTTCTTAATTGCATTTGCAAACGCGGATTTTTCATCCTCAAGATAGCAGTGATAGGAGAGATTTTCGTCACGAGGCGAACGCTGTCTCGAGCACGCGGATTCGAGGAACTCAAATATTGCGATAATGGATAGATTGTACCGGCATTTATCTCGCAAACAGTATTACGTTTATAAACGCTTCGCTTACGTCTTTCTGCAGATATATATATACGGACAAATAACAATTATTCTCACAGCTAAAAGGGAAAATAATGGTAAATCCACATTGATTAGTTTATGCAATCATATGGAACGCGTATTATACGAATGCGTTATATAAATGTGTTATATAAAGAAAAAGGTTACATAAATACACTGAAAAAAAAAATGACTGAATTAATAAATATTTATTTCAATGCTGCTTAATAAATCATTTATTTGAAACAAATAAATATTTTTCACATCAAATCAATATTATTAGTTTCAAAATTAGTTTCAATGAATGCTTTATTTGGTATAGTATTAAAACAAATACTTATTCGAATTCAATAAACTTTTTTTCAGTATAATATTATACGAAAAAGATAATTGCACGAATCGAAAGCGCATGGGTTTACCATTACTTTTAATATCATGATTTTTGTAACCCATTTGTTTGAACCTGATTATCTCGATGCCACAGCATTGCTTCCAGAGAATGAAACAATTCGCCCGAATAATTCATTATCGAGTATCTCGTGAACGCATTCTTTGCACATCATTATTCTATTTATCTCATATCCAGAGTATCTCTAGATATTATTATAAATTATGCAGATCATTTATATCTCCGCAGTTCGATCATGCAAATAATAAACCGAGGAGGGAACGCGCGCAATATGAGAATAATCTTTTCTTCTTTCTTTCTCTTATTTTTTATCGCGCGCAACGATTCTCGAGGAATATCTCTCGAGGAATGAGGGAGAAGAGAGTTTATATGAAAAAGGGGAAGAAAACGCGAGGGAACGTTTGTTTCGTAACGATATTGCGCCGGGTTATCGACCGGGTTGTCGCGCGAGGGTGTAATTTATGCGTCGCGTGTGTATCACGGGACACGAGCGTGTGTATGCCGGCAAATCGATGAGGAGTTAGGTATATATTCGTGATCCGGCGAACCCCTTTGGAGAACGATAACGCGCGGAGTCTCGGTAATTATCCCCGAAGGCAATTATCTCTTTATTCGGGTGAAGTCGTCCCTCTAGACGGATGTCACCTTTGAAAGATACGCGAAATGAAAAACGACGTTTTTTTTTTTTTTTTTTTTTTTTTTTCATATAATAAAGGCAACTCGGTCTTTTTTCCACGATGGATCTAGAATCCTCCCTTAGGGAAAGCACACAGTTGACACAGTGGGGTGTACGCGAACGTAGGTACCCGAGCTACCTCCGGACTCCTGGGGGGGCTTTTAACTGGGTCACTCTCCTGGGGATTTCAGCGAAGAGACACCGGACTATGTTCATATTTAAAGTATTAGCATTGGAGCCGTTGAAGGGGCTGATTACATATTCTCGCGGCGTAGCTTTTCGCGAACTTCTTTTCGTGATCTGTCAAAGTTATAAAGAGCTCTGAAAAAATTTATTAATCAAATATCTATCTTTAAACATATTTAAAATAAAATATAATTAATTATTTCAATTATTTTGTAATTATAAGAGAATGAGTACACTCGCTGCAAGATAAAATGCATTCGAACCATTGAATGGGCTGATTACATATTCTCGCGGCGTAGCTTCTCGCGAATTTCTTTTCGTGATCTGTCAAAATTACAAAGAGCTCTAACAAAATTTATTAATCAAATATCTATTTTTAAACATATTTAGAATAAAATATAATAAATTATCTTGTAATTATGAGTACACTCGCTGCAAGATAAAATGCATTTGAACCATTGAATGGGCTGATTACATATTCTCGTGGCGTAGCTTTTTGCGAGCTACTTTTCGTGATCTGTCAAAATTACAAAGATCTCTAAAAAAATTTATTAATCAAATACCTATCTTTAAATATATTTAGAATAAAATATAATAAATTATCTTGTAATTATGAGTACACTCGCTGCAAGATAAAATGCATTTGAACCATTGAATGGGCTGATTACATATTCTCGTGACGTAGCTTTTCGCGAGCTATTTTTCGTGATCTGTCAAAATTACAAAGAGCTCTAAAAAAATTTATTAATCAAATACCTATCTTTAAACATATTTAGAATAAAATATAATGACTTATGTTTTAATTATGAATACACTCGCTGCAAGATAAAATAGCATCGTTGATGAATGTAAGCGAAAGCAAGTAGTCCTCATAAGTACGCTCGCTAATCGGGAAATTATAAATGACTTAAAATGTAGAGGCACTTTAAAAATGCATCGTGGATTTATTCAAAAATGTGCTCCGGCAAGAAAGTTATATGATACTTACATAAAAGTACTTTATATCACTGTCAGCGAGTAAGTGTCGCCACGATGAGGCGACACGTGGTCGGAAACGTCTCTGCAACTCACGGACTCAAAGTGATCGATGAGTCGGCGCGGCGTCGAGATATTTTATCGAGGAGAGGCCGAAAGCGGAAGAGCGCGGGATGAGAGACGAACCTAATAATGCGATGAGCCACGTCGCGAAATCGTCCGTGGAAAATCGCGCGAATCGACGCGAGTGTAATGAGCAACCATAAGCCGCGAGAATGACAAATGGTGGATCCGTGCCGGAGTTCAAATTGGCAAATCGAGAGACTTTTGCGCGATTTCACGACTCCACATGAAAAATCGTATAATACACTTACGTATAAACGCACATTTCATATCCTCATTATTTATATCTTTATTATTATATCACTTTATTATTCGTTATTACACAGAGAGAATTTTCTCTTAGAATTTATCGTGAAAATCGTGATAATCCCCTGGGCCAATATGGTATTGGAAGAATTTTACAAGTTATTTCTCTGATTAATTTTTATCGCATTAAAAAATGTTAATATGTACATAGGGAATTTTATTATATTCATAATAAAATTAATCGAACATATTTTATATCTTATCGTGGGAGATATTTAATATTCCTATTGTGGTAAATATTTAATCAGAGAAACTCTTATAAAATTGGCATATCGAGAGACTTTTTTGCGATTCCGCGACGTAGCATGAAAGATCGTATAATGTACTTATGTATATAGGCACATTTTATATCCTCATTATTTCTTATCACTTTATTATTCATTATACACAGAGAGAATTTTTTCTTAGAATTTATCCTAATATAAAATCATAGTAATCCCCTGGGACAATATGGTGTTGGAAGAATTTTATAAGTTATTTCTCTGATTAATATTTATCACAATAAAAAATATCAATATGTACATGTAAATTTTACTATATATACATAATAAACTTAATCGAACATATTTTATATCTTATTGTGCTAGATATTTAATATTTTTATCGTGGTAAATATTTAATCAGAAATGCTCTTATAAAATTCTTCGAATATCATATTGTCTCACGATTACCTTGATTTTCAGAGTAAATTCTAAGAGAAAATTCTCTCTGTGTAAATAAGACAATAATAAAATGAATAACAACTTTTATTGAGCCAATGCGATCATATATAAAATTACAAGAAAAATAAATTACAATTTAATCGTAACAACAACACAGTGTTATAAAATTGAAATAAGCAATTACATTAATGTTTAAGATAAAATATGCACAAAAAATATTTAAATATATATGAAATATAAAGAAAATAATATATAGATATATACATATATATTTGATATATCTTTATTCGAACAATTCGAGAACACATTTCCGACATTCGCGAGGAAGTAATCGACCGAGATGAGCGGTGCAGCAAGAAGATCTCTAAGTCGGGGAGTTGTCAGTTGGGGTAAATTCCTTGGTCGCGAATCAAGACACACCGACTATTATTCATCTCCGTGAATACGAGACGGCTACTACTAGTTCAGTCTAAATAGGCAGCCATATCGCGCGGCTAATTACTCTTTGTTTGCCAATCCACTAGTGGTTATCGCGTAATAATAATTCACTAAAGACGATGGAATATTGCGGAATGACAATTGGCGTATTACTTCCTTCATAGATACGAAACGTATCCTGGCTCAAGTCCTGACTTCCGCGGACGCACGTCATGTTTCGAAATTATTTCGATCTTGTATACTCGCATATTCAAGGTGTATAGTTCCTGGAAAAACCTGGAAAACCTGGAATTCTCAGGAAATTTTGTTCTACCTTGAAAAATCTCGAATTATTATGGAAATTGATTTAAACTCGAGGATTTTTTTTTAAATTGTCCCTTTGATTTTAAAATATAGCTTTAAAGATGATAAAATTTATTAGTTTTATATAAAGTATGTATATTAAAATATATTTTATTATAATATAATACTACTTAAATTATATTATTATATAAAAAATACTTCATTTATGTTAAAAAATTATATATAACAAATAATTATTTTAAAATTGTATTTTAAATATTATTTACAATACTTCAATTTTACCTGGAATTTTGAACAAAAGTACCTAGAAAATCATGAAATCCTCAGGGAATTTATTTCTAAGATTTGAGTATACACCCTGATATTATTTTGAATAAAGACATTCATGAGCTGCATCTCATTATATACTTAATCTCTTATAGAAAATTTAAGTTTTCATACACATAGATAAAACAAATTAGATTCATTTCTCAATACCAAAGTTTGACCATTTTTCCGACAAACGTGATCAATGATAGGAATAACGAGATCTGTGCGGAAGGATGTCGCGTCAACGCGCATTTCCGGCGAGTTGATCGAAACGGATACGTGATCCCGTCAGGGTGGAGATACCATGACGAGTTATTTTCTTTATTTTTTTAATGCCAAATGTCATGCGTAGGCGAATTGCATCAAACGAGTTTGGAATATTACTGCAAATACCCACGCATATTCGCGAAGATTGTTAAGTCGCACGCGAAAGCTATTTATTTTCATTTCCTGAAATGAAAAAATAACAATATTTTGTTCAAGATGAACTATTTATTCAATTTTATTTTAATTGAATAAATTTTATTCAATTTTCAAAATTTATTCAATTTTATTCTAATTGAATAAAATTGAATCGATTACATTCACAGTATTAAGTGATCAGCTGTTAAGTCAGATAATCTGACAGTATTTTTATATCATACATTTCAGAGAGCCTAAAGCTATCATAAAATCACACACACACATATAATGCATATAATATAAAAAATTCTCGAAAAGTTAACTCTATTGTTTATCAAAACTTTTTGACTTCAAAAATAAATATTTTATATCAAAAATAAATGCTTGATTACTTTCTCTCTTTAGCAGTTAAATGTGTCATTCTGGAATCTCCTATATTTTTTCAGCTTTTTAAATTAAAATAAATTTTAAGTGTAAATAAATTTTTGTGCTACAAATCCAACGCTTTAGAAAAAATAACAAATTTTATATCGCATAATAATTATATCCAATTGTACATTTATCTTATCAATTTGATTAATTAATTTATTTTAACTTGTTTACAATATCTCAGTATATAAGAATTTTTTCTTTCTTACAAGAATTTCTTAAAAAAATCAATCTTGTCATGATATATTCTTTTTATCTCGTGTTTCTTCTCGATATTAAAAAAATAGAGAGAAAAATATGCCTTAAAAAAATATCCAAAAATATATCACATTTCTTTTTTTTTATGAAGATCCTTAATACGGTTTCTCGATATCACAGCTATTTCGATAGACAAGAAAGGAAATATGGCGATATGAAATACCCAGTTTTTCTTCCACGAGGAGATCAAATTCTCTAATGTTGCCTCGTATAGTGTTTCTCGATATCTCCCGTTATTTCGGTAAAAAGGACACCCGCTGTGTTCACATTTCGCCCGAGCATACAAGTTCGTGAACCACAAACCACAAAGTGGTTGTCACTAATCCGTATAATATATGTAGATTTAAGCCACGTTCTATCGATGATTTGTGGCATACAAGGGAATTTATACGATCGACTTAAACGCGAAAATATCATTCGCAAAACACAATAAAGTGCCGATCATCCTATAAAAATTCGTAAAAATGTTCGCGATGTAGTTTCGATAGACTGTTTTAAATCGATCGATTTTTCAGTTGTTTGTATGGAAAAAAATTTAATAAATTGCGTTATTTGAAAAATTGAGTTACAGAACTGTCATACTGCTCTCTCTTGAGATCAATTTAAATAATTCGATCGAAACATTATTACATGATGATATGCAGCTCGCGAAGGTCGGTGTGACTTCCAAAGTGCATCGGCACAAGACGTTTAAGTCGTTTCAAGCTAGTACTTTGCAAGAACATCTTAATTTGCAGCCCCAAACTTAATATTCTTAAAAGCCCTTAAGAGATTGCCGAAAAGGGAGAGAAAGAGAGAGAGAGAAATCGCGAGGTTCAACAGTTTTGCGAGTCTATCGGCAACGAAACACTCGGTTTCATGCCCGGCAACGACCCGATTTTTTTCTTTTTTTTTTTTTTAATATCCCACCCACCGCAATAAGAAATTCAACTGTCCCGCATTACAAATCGTCTCTGTCGCGGCCGGCGACAGAATTCAGCCACGCCCGAGGCTAATTTGAATAATATCTATGCGAATGTTCTATATCTCGTTTCTCGCCAGGCTTCGAGTTTCATTTTATTTTTTTACATGATTTGCATTAATAATAATGATAATTGCGCGCGGTATAAGAAAATTACAATTGATGATCGTAATATCAAGTTACCACACATTAATAAATTTATGTTAATGTATAACTCGTGGGATATCTGATTAATATAAATCGACAATACAAAAATTATATATTATATATAGACTAATTTTTTTTCATATTTAACGTAACTCTGAATTTATCGATATTACTTGATCTAGATTACATGTTTCGCGGATTTTATTTAATTTTTTTTTTCTACATATTTGTAACATTTTATTTCTCGCACTTGATTTGAATATTTTTCACTACTCAGAGTTATAAGTTATAATGCTCGAATTTATTGCGAAAAAAATAAGTTAATGTAATACAATCTGCACATTACATGTGGGGAAAACGCACGGCGATCTGTCTCACTTTGAGTTAATGATAGTTTATGATCATTTTCTAAGTCTTCTCACAGCCAACATTTGTCTGAGCCTTAACTGACTCAAACTGCGGAAACGGATTTTGAAAAATTAGAGAAGGGCAATAAGTTTAATTTATACGACTTTACAAACTTTGTTTTCACTATTTTTGAAACTTCCATTATGATACTTGGCACTCGCTTCCAAAGCACAAATATACTCTAGTTTCATTGACTTAAATATCATTCATTAGAATGTGCAGCCAACTAGTTTGCGCCTGAAACACAAGAATTGAATTCTTTTCACATCCATTTTATATAAAAAAATATTTGAGTAGAATGGAAATAATTAAAATTAAACAGGAATAATTATAATAATTATTTTATTATTATTATGCAAGATTAAAACTTAG